TTAACTCTTCCTCTATTTTTCTGACTGTATTCATTCACGCACCTCTAGGCCAGCTTCATTTTGTTTTGAGGATGCCTTTGTTTTCTTGCTTCTGGGTTGGGCTGAGACATTTCAGTGGTGCTTTGAAAAACAAAGCCCTGTCACATCCTGGAGACAACAAAATGCCTGTGTTCAGTACTCAACACATTGCATTCCTCTGCAGTTTGCCCTCTCCTGGACTTACCTTCTCTATAGCTTCAGGGGGTAGCTGAGTTAGTCTGTACAGGATAAACTTAAACAACATAAGGGCTGGTAGCACTTTCAGAAGCATTGCTTTGGCAGGACCTACCTGGTCATGTAGCACCAAAGCTGTTATTTTTATTGTTATGGAAATGTGAGCACATCTGACAAAGCTGTTGCAATTTAAGCAAACACTATACTTCTTGAAAAGTATGTACGGTAAAACAGACAACCCGTTGCTTTTTTTAACTTGTGAGGCAACCATTGCATAATATTGCATCTCTGGCATAATGTCTCTGATTTACATCAAGGATGAAATCTAATGTAGAACCTCCCTGGAGGGGTTAAAGCATTTCTGAAATACTGTAACTATCAGCTGTTTTCTGAACACAGACTTTATTGTTCAGTGAAGCAGTTTATTGAACAGTTATGCCCTGAGCTCTAGTCCACTCAGTTTTAAATTATACTGTTAGACTGGGCAAAATCTTGTGCGATTGACGTCAGTTTGGTAGGTGTGAACATATTTTTCAATTAACATAACCAGGGCTCGACAATCTATGTAATCTACTCACCATAGGTGAGTAGATTATATCCCGGAAGAGCCGGATTCAGGCGATCTGCGCACGTGCAGAACGCCAGACAGCGCGGCTGGCGAGCGAGGCTCGGCGAGCCCTGAACGTAACTAAGCATAAGTCCATCTGAAAACAATAGGGAATATGAACTCACCCCAGAATTTTGGGATGAGTACTATTTTCAGTGAGGGTATGTCTATACTGCAGCACTATTTTGGGATACCAAGTATCCTGAAATAGCTATCCTGTATCTTAACAGCAAGCCTGTTATTTTGGGCTCACTATTCCGATCTTCCTATAAATCTTATTCTAGAAGGAGTGAGGGACATTTCAGAATAATGCTTTATTTCGAAATTCAGCCCTGTGTAGACAGTGCCAAATGACAAAATAAGCTATTTTGAAATAGCATTGAAATAAGATACGCAATTTGCGTAGCTCAGATTGCATATCTTATTTCAAGTTACAGGCTGTGTCGATCTGCAATTTGAGCCCTAAATGTACGTGTGTGTGTGTGTGTGTGTGTGTGTGTGTGTGAAGAAACTGAGGTCAGGCAAGACGATGACAAAGCGAGAGAGAGACAGCCAGAAGGAACAGCTAAAAGCAGGTGGCTGACTCTGGAA